GCGGCGGGAGCGCGGCGGGAGGGGCGGGGCGGAGGAGCAGCCAATAGGAAACGGGAGGGGGCGTGGCCGTAAAAGGAGAAAGGGGCGGGGCTAAGGGACAATGGCAGCGGCGCGAGGGAGGGGGCGGGGCTGAGCGCCGCCATATATGGAAAAAGGGGCGGGGCAAACAGTGGCGGGAGCCCGGAGGGGGCGCGGCCAAGCCGCGTCTATAGGCGGTGAAGGGGGCGGAGTAACCGCCTCCATATATGGAAAGGGGGCGTGGCCACGCTGTGGCGGGAGCCCTGAGGGGGCGTGGCCAGATGGAATCTATAGGGAGAAAGGGGAGTGGAAAGGGGCGTGGCCGTGGCTTTTCTATAGGGGAAGGGAGCGCGGGGAGGGGCGGGGTAAGGGCGTGGCCCTGCCTTGCCAATACACGAAAAAGAGGCGTGGCTTTACCCCTAAAGAGGCGGGGTTGGAATTCGCCTTGGAAAAGCGAGGCAGGGGCGCTGGAGGGGGATACTGGGACAAACTGGTCGATACTGGGAGCCCAAACCAAGCCCTTCCCACGGGGCGGAACCAAAACGCCGCGCCCCACCCGGACCCTTTGAGGCGGCGCGCGTTTCCTCTCGGCCACTTCCGGTTTCCGCCTTCCCACTTCCGGCTTCCGCCTCAGCGCCGGAGCGGGCGCTGAGGGAGGCGCGGGCCCAAAACCCCCTCAGGACCCCCCAAAAAACCTCCCGAAACCCCCTGGAATTTATATTTTTTGTTGTTTTAGGAGCTTTAGGAGCTCTCCTCGCTGCCATGACGCGGCACGGCAAGAACTGCACGGCGGGGGCCGTGTACAGCTACCACGAGAGGAAGAAGGACACAGGTGGCGGCTGAGGGCGGGAGGGTTTTTGAGGGGTTTTGAGGGGTTTTGAGGGGGTTTTGGGGGTGCCGAGGGGAGGTGTTGATGGTGTTCGGGTTGTTTTTTGCAGCGGCTTCGGGTTACGGGACGCAGCGGGTTCGTGTGGGCCGCGACGCCATCAAGGATTTCGATTGTTGCTGTTTGTCCCTGCAGCCCTGCCGGGATCCTGTGGTGACGTGAGTGAGAGCCCCCAAAACAGCCCAAAAATATCCTGGAAGGGCGTCCCGAATATCCTAAAATAGCTCCCCAAAAGCGGCCACAAAATCAGCCCCAAAACTGCCCCAAAAACAATCCCAAAATGGACTCAAAATCGGCCCTAAAATGGACCCAAAACAGCCCAAAATCAGCCCTAAAATGGACCCAAAACTGCCCCAAAATCAGCCCTAAAATGGACCCAAAACTGCCCAAAATCAGCCCTAAAATGCCCCAAAACCAACCCCAAACCAGTCACAAAATCAGCCCTAAAACAGCCCCAAAATGGACCCAAAAGTGATCCCAAAACAGCCCCAAACCAACCCCAAAATGGACCCAAATTCAGCCCAGAAACAACCCCAAAATTGACCCCAAAATCAGCCCCAAAACAGCTCAAAACTGCCCCAAAACCAACCCCAAAACTGCCCCAAAATCAGCCTCAAAACAGCCCAAAAACAACCCCAAAATGGACCCAACATCAGCCCTAAGATGGACCCAAAACTGCCCCAAAATCAGCCCCAAAACAGCCCAAAATTGAGCCCAAAATCAGCCCCAAACCAACCCCAGAATGGACCCAAAACTGCCCCAGAATGGACCC